AATTGAATTATAGTTATTTTTGGTACTTTATGTTTTAGTAATTTGTGTATTATTTTATGTTTTAAAATGTATATTTGAAAGATAAGATAATATTTCTGTCAACACAGACTTACAGAAACAAAAAAAGGATTAAGAGCCCAAAGTTGTGTGCATGCATACATAAGAGTATGAAAACCTGCTAATGTGACATATTGCTCTTCAGGCATGAAAAAATTTAATGTTGGACCAGCTAGGCAGTAAATCTATAAAATTAAAATAAAAGAGAAATAGTAGATTAAATTTTAAAAAAGTTAACGGGGGTTAGTGATCGTAGATTCTGAGTGTAGCAGCCACGATAGATAGATGTGCTTTCTCTACAGTCATGATGTATCCAGAGCCAGCTACTTCTACATCAAATCCCACACCAGTATCTCGGGTAATCCTGGACAGATTACTGCAGAATTTCTCCCCATGCCAGATTATCACCTTCATTGACAAGGTTAAACCTAGAGTATCCATTGACCTGACTAAGACCCACTTCCTACGACAAGGTGGAATTTTTCTCCAGCCTTCAACCCTAGCTGACAAGAAACTCTCTTTCACGGCCAGTGCACAGAATAAAATACCCTGACCTTGACCAGAGGAAAATACAAGTATTATCAAAACAAAGGATCACATAAAATGTGAGAAAACAATAACACAAATTTCAGAACTAAGAAACAACAGGAATGTCTCTATCAGGTTAAGAAAAATTGATCGTGGACTTTGTCAGAGTTGTCGAAGTCGAATGGTTTCTGGGCGTGACTTGTCTGGCAGCACATGCTGGCAAAGGGTGACTGTTGTTGGTTGGAGGTTGTACTCAGGAATCTGCAGTAGTAATTACCTTGTTCTTCATCAGTCTGGAGTTTTCTGTCTTTCTTGGTGATATGGGTTTGAGTCTGCTGTCTGGAAATTATGAGGCTGTTGGTTGACGTTGAAAAGTTAACCTTGGCAATTCATTAATTTTGAGTCTGGATTTTACTTGTGTATGGTGACTACTTCTTGGTTGGTGGAGCCTGAGTAAACTTGGTAGTGGTGTTAGCTGTTTCCTGTGATTGGCTGTCGACTGCAACTGTCTGGGTAGCATTGTCCTTGAGCTGAGAAGTGGCTAAGGTTACATTAAAAGCTGGTAGCACTGTATGAGACATCAATGGTCTTGATGTCTGATGTGAAGAGGTTTGCTGGCCTTGTTGAAAGGATGAGAAGCTCGTTTGGGGTATTCAGGGGTGTTTGGCCCTGAAATGAAAGAAATGGTAAAAACAACATTAGATAAAATGTAATTAGCTGCACGTTTGGATGTGGGTGGTTACAACTTTAATTAATTGGGTGATGTGGCCTGTTGCTCTGGAACGAATCTGGTGGATTGCGTGAAGTTGAGATTTAATGGCTGGTTTAAGAGATTGCTGAATTTCTTCTGACGTGATTGAAGAGTTGATGCCCTTGAGAAAAACAGAGAAAAGATTAGTGGTTCTTTTGTGGATTGTGCAAGTCACATTAAAATCAGTGTTCCATGGGTTACATAGGCAATGTATGGATGTGACAGCTAGATGAGAAAAGACTGACTTGACTGATCAAGGCTGTAATAAAAGTAGCCAGTTCCTGGTTGAAGAACTTGCATGACTAATGGTTTTAATGAACAGTAAAGATTAAATCAGAAAAGTCACAGAAATTTAGGTTTAACTGCAAAATACTAATAAAATAAGATTAAACTGACATGGCATTAAGATTAATGTGGAATGGCACCTTTTCAGGGCTGGGCTCAAAGGATCCAAAAAATTCCTGCTTTTAGTATTAACAGCTTTCCCAGTTGCCATTTGGCTCTCAATTAGTCATGTTTGTGCATAACCGTGCAACACACGCTTATAAACATTCCCATGAGGTAACATTCACATCTCACCATTTAAACTCAAGTCCTAATTCTGTGAGAAGGGTGAAGAGAAACAGAAGTTTCTGAGTGTCCCTTCATGGCTTGTTAGATTTTAAAACCATAATACCTGTCAAGTCAATACATACAGAGAAAAGATAGACAGTTGAAATTCTGAAAATAATGAAACCAAAAGAACGGCTACAAATGATTCATTCAAAGAAGTAATACGGTATTGTTCACTTAATTTCATAACTTATAAAATTTCATATTACTGTATGTTGATGATTTAGCTAGTTATTGTTAGGAAAGAGAAAATAACATATAAAAGATAATTTTTTTATCATAAAAGAACTTCTGATATATATTTAGGAGATTCTAGGAATTAAGCAAATGAAATATGAAAACTGTAAGATAAAAAGAAACATTTGTATTCTTTGCATAAAAATTATCTTGCATTCAGGTTGACTCAGTAAAGGATTCAGAAATTCACAGATTTTTACTATAAATATTCAATTAAAAATTCTGATTTTGTGTACAAACAGACTTGTAATGTTTACTAAAAGCATGCCAAATTTCATGAATATGCATTAAGAAAATTCTAGTATAATAGTGTTATGATATTCAAGCTCATGTAAAATGACCAACCCATGCTTGAAGGGTTAACACTAACCTCTTGTTGAGTTGCTCCCAAGTCTGTAAGTAATGTGCTGATTTGAGGGTGATAATCAAAAGAAGCAGGATGCTTTAAGAGAGTTAATAACTGAAGCTGAAAGAAAAAAAAAATCTGATATTAAAGTAGTGAAATAAATAATAAAATTTCTCTGAACAGCACTCACAGGTAATATAAAAGCCCATATTCTTATAATAATACAATTGTATTATT